GTCTCTGACTTAAATGAGACACTTATTGAAAGCCGCACAAAACCTAAGAAATGTTGAAAATTCTATTATCACAATTGGGAAATTGAAGATTGGGTCACAATTTGTATCCATTAATAGTTGAAAGTGAAGATGCGATGTTAGGTGATTTAAGATTGGAAGAGATAGTTATCAATACACTTGGCAACTTAAGAATAGATTGCACATCCATTTGGATTGCAACAAAACTGATAGGTAATTGGATTGTACAAAATTATGGCGGTGTTTGGATTCAACTAATGTTAAGAAACTTCCTTGACCATGATCTCCACTCGTCTTGCCGTGCTACAATCTTTCTCAATTTAATAAATAAATAAAAAATAAAAATGAATGAAATAGAAATTAAAGTAACGTTTGGTAGAGTTTTAGAATTATAATTTGAAAATAGAGTTATATTTTAAGGTTGTGTTTGGAACGATTTCCAAACGTTGATTCTACCCTCACATTCCAATATAATGTTTGGATAGAGCTTTGGAACTAATTTTCCATAACTCTATAGAGAACTCTATGTCTGAGCCCGATTTTCAAAAAAAAAAATTAAATTTGGCCTAACCGGTCGTCCGGCCAGTTGACCGAAATAGTGCAAAATTTTTTTTTTTTTTTTCGATTGACATTATTTTTATTTTTATATACTTGAAAAAAATATTTTCCGAATTTAAAAAAAAAAAATTTATGTGTTTTAATAGAATTTTGAGTTCTATGTTTGGTTATGAGTTGTAAGTTTTTATATCAAATATCAAATGTCACATCAAAAATTCCCTATTCAATTCAAAACTCTTTTGAAAACTCTTTCACCAAACAAATTTTCCACACTCAAATCATAAAAAATTGTTTGAGGGCCTAAAATCGTTGGCTCGAAATCCAAAACGACGTCGTTTTGGATTTCATTTTTTTTTTCCCTTCCTTTTCTTGCTTTTTTTTTCTTTTTCTTGTTTTGGAACATAGGCACAAAGGCGAGAGAGAGAAATGAGAGAAGTGAAGAGAAGAGAAGAGAAAGAGAGGAGAAGGAGAAAAGATGGGGAGAAGGAGGAGGAAGAGAAGAAGACGGTGATGGCAGTGATGGCGGAGGAGGAAGATCGCCGGTGATGGCGGTGATCGGAGCTGGAGTTGAATCTGAATCGGACCTGATTCTTTTTTCTTTTTTTTAGGCTGATGATTTGAATCTTTTTTTTTTTTTGGGGTGATGATGATGTGTTGATGATGATGATGTTGATGAAGATGTTGATATATATATATATATATATATATATATTTTTTTTTTTCTTCTTTTTTTTTTCTTCTACTGGATCTTGGTGAAGATGTTGATGATGTTGATGAAGATGTTGGCTGTTGACGATCTGAAGATGTTGATGATATTGATGAAGATGTTGGTTGTTGATGATGTGTTGATGAAGATGTTGATGTTCTTCTTCTTCTCTTCTTCTCTTCTTCTTCTTCTTCTTCTTCTTCTTTCTGCTTCAGCTTCTGTTATCTTTTCATCTTCAAAAGAGAAAATTCCAAAACAAAAGAAAAAAGAAAAGAACAAAAAAAAAAAAAAATCTCAAAACGACGTCGTTTTGGATTCGGGGCAAATTCGAGCCTGAAATTTTTCGAGCCCTGTAGCAGCTCTGCAAATCATAATCTCAAAATACAACTCCTACTCTCAAATCATAGTTAGAAAGCTCTACCAAACGCAACCTAAGTTTTTGAGTTTTGAAATTATGATTTGAGTGTGAAAAATTCGTTTGGTTAAAAGTTTTGAAAAGAGTTTTGAATTTTTGATGTGACATATGATATTTGATTAAAAAACTTACAACTCATAACTAAACACACGACCCAAAATTCTATTTAAAGCTCATAAAAAAATTTAAAAAATTTTGAAAATATTTTTTATTTAAAATATAAAAAATAACATGTGCCAATTGCTCAAAAATAATAAATAAATAAATAAAATAGTACTATTCTGGTCAACCGGCCGGACGACTAGCTGAACGTCTTGGAGGATGACCTGATAGGCCAAATTTCAAAATTCAAATCCCTGCCTGGAACGAGTTTTCAAAAATAGATGTAGAATCAATTTTTAAAAGTTATATCTAAATACCACACTAAAATATGAGTGTAGAGTCATAATTAGAACTCCATACCCAACACAGCCTAAATTTTTACTTCATTTTCTTTTTGGCTTCATAAATCTCTACTCAAATTTTAAATCTGGTACCCTTCTTAAGGTACTTCCAATTCTAAGTTTTTAAAAATAATTTTTGAGTTTTTTTTTTCATGATTTATTGACTTCAGTGAATCTTTTTCGTATTTTAGTCAATTTTTTTGTAAATTTTTTAGATATATCTAATATAAATATATATACATAAAAAAGTAAAATATTTGTGTAAATAATGTTGGACAATCTTCACCGTATTTAAAAAGATTTAATTCTGTTGTGTACAAAACAACAACAAGAATAAAAGAAATAGAGAAAAGGAGAGAATATGTTTGATTACAAAAATCAAACTCGAAATAAAAATAAATAAATAAAAAAAACAGATTTTATTTTGATACAAAACCATTTCCAACAAATAAATCTAAAAACAGTTCAATAAATACCAAATTATATTGAATTTTTTGTATTTAGTGAAATTTTAAAAGATTTTTTCACAAGTATTCTTTAAGTGAATCAAGATTAAACAAATTTGATTAAAATGTTAAAAAAATTCACTAGAGATCAAAATATACGTTGAAAATTTGAAAATTATTTTTGAAAATTTCAAAATCAAACGGATGTGTAGATTATATTCATTTTTGGTGTGGTGTAACACCAAGTTTAACAAAAACAAAAACAAAAACAAAAAAACAAAATCAATTTTAAATATATACTATATAATGAAATTTTAGATACTTTTCTAAGTAAAATATATATTGGTATGAAGAATTTTTGTTAAAAATAAGGGAAAATTGCCTACAGGTGGTAATTACAAAAATTATTAGATATGTATGGAAAAGTTATAATTTTAATTATTAATATTGATAAAATTTACCATTAATTTGTAATTATTTTTCAACTTATACACTAATTTGAAATTTTTCCTAAAAATAATAAACTCAACAAAAATCAAGAACAGAATATTCATATGCACATTCTGGTTCATAATTTGACTCAACTACCGAGCCAACCTACCCAAGATGTGTCAATTTGTGTAATCTGTGACCCCTACTTTATCAGATCATAGAATTAGCAAATAGACAAACAACAGCTTGTTTTGGGAAGTTGGCTTTTAGCCATTTTTTGGGTTTGTAGTAAAAATTAAAAGTTGATTTTTTTGAATTTTTTTTCATTTGGGAAGTTGGTTTTTAGCTAATGGTAAAATTACAATTATACCATTTATGGATCAAAATGTATTACATTGGTAAAGTTGTAAATATTTTAAACTAAATAAAAGTAGTTTGGTCATTTTATTATGATTTGACATCATAAATAAATATTAATCAAAAAAACCAACAGTCACATTTTACCAACTTTCCAAATCATTTGTCTAAAAAAGCCAAAAGCTTGATTAAAAACCAAAAGTCACTTTTTACCATCTTTTCAAGATTTGTAACATTTCTTAATACCATAGAATTATCTAGCTTGAATTCTCTAGCTTCAATGAAACCCAAAAAAAAAATATATATATATATATATATTAAAAAGGAAAATTTACCAATAAATCCCATTTCATAAACTATTAAACCAATTAGTCCCAACTTTATTCTTTTGTTCGGATAAGTCCTATCAGTGGGGAAGTTTGTTTCTTGTTGATCCTATTTTCCATATTTAGTGTAACTGTGTGGACGATTTTACCCATTATTGTTATGTTTCCATATACTGATGGGGCCATCAATGTGATCCCTCACTTCACCATCACTTCACCATCTCCCACATTATAACTCTTCCCCCCTTCTGTCTGCAAGCCCACTCGCGCATCTCTCTCTCTAAAATTTCGTTCCCTCCAAACCCTTCCACACAACCAAAAAGAGTAAACACTTAGAAAATTGAATTATAGAGAGAGAAAATCGAGTTGGGTTTTTGATCGGAAACCCTGAGATCTTATCGCCGAGTATACTAGATTTTCCATCGCTGGTTCTGAGTCCTGTGACGCCATTAATTGAAGACCCATTTAACAAGTCTTGTTCGCCATCGATTGGGAGTTCTTCTTCGGAGGAAGAGAAAGCGATTGCAGAGAAGGGGTTTTACTTGCACCCATCGCCCAGAACTACGACGCCGAGAGGATCGGAGCCACTGCAGCTTTTGCCTCTGTTTTTGTGTGTGTGTGTGTGTGTTATGCGCTGGGTGTGTCTTAGAGAGAGAAGACAGAGCTGGGTTTGGTGTGTGCTCTGTGTGTGTGTGTGTGTATCAGTGTGTGTGTGTGTTATGCGCTGAGTGTGTCTTAGAGAGAGAAGACAGAAGCCATCAGTGTGTGTGTCTGCGTGTTGAAGCCATTAGTGTGTGTGTGTGTGTATCAGTGTGTGCGTGTAGATGCATGTGTGTTGATGTCCCAGTTTGTGCCGTGTATACTGTGTGTGTTGTATGTGCTGTGTGTGTGTATCAGTGTGTGTATGTGTGTATCAGTGTGTGTATGTGTGGGTGTGTGTTGAAGCCATCAGTGTGTGTGTGTGTGTGTGTGCGCGCGCGCGTGTATTAGTGTGTGTGTGTGTTATGCGCTAGGTGTGTCTTAGAGAGAGAAGAGATAGCTGGGTTTGGTGTGTGTGTGTGCATGGTGTCTTGTGTCTACTAGAGAGAGAAGATATGTGTGTGGCTGGGTATCCATGTGAGAGAGAGAGAGAGAATGCTGAGAGAGATGAGTGGTGTCTAAATGATGGTAATTACGTCTCTCAGAATTTTCTAGGACTAAACGGTTTACTAGAATAAAAATGGGACCAATTGGTTCATAAGTTTACATTTTGGGATTTATTGGTAAATCTCCCTATTAAAAATGATAGTTGTTCATAGATAATATAAAGGATTTTAAGCTTCTATACCTCAAAAAATACATCTATTTGCTACTACACTGAATTTATGGGGTAAATGAAGATGTAAGTTGAGATGGCTCAACCATTAGACTATTTGTCAGCCACTTCAGATCAGACTAAAAAATATCAAAAATATTTTATTGTTGAAGATAACAATTTTGAAATATTTAGCATTTGCATCATCAGCAAACATTCAAATTAAAACCACTAATGTGGAACCGAAAGAGCCTGTGGCAAAGCTTCATGGGCAGACATTGGAATTGTCTCAAACTTGCAATCAACCGCGAACAACTTCGCGTTCTCTTCCATGGAAATCATGTTGATAAGTTGGAGCAAGACACGCTCGAGCTCTTCCCCATCGCTCCATTCATGGATCTCTGCCTTGACAAGAGCGCGATTTTGGCAAATCAAATCCCAAACCGGGTAGTTCTTCCTTGGCATCACATAGTCTCCTTCTCTCAGCTTTAAGCTCGGGCAAAAATCGCCTTTTCCATCACCGAGATAGATGAATTTCTTCTTCCCCTCTACAGAAACTTGTATTCTCTCCATTATCAGACCCTGTAATGGACAAGATCTAGTAATCTTTAGCAAGATTTAATCTTGTAAACATAGCTAAATGGCATTTTTATAATCTTGGAAAATTAAATTTGTTTGCTACAAAAGAAAATTTTGAAATTTGGTTAATGCAGGGTTAGTGAGTGGAGTCAACATGAGAGTGGTCAACGCAGAAAATTTATTGACATATTTAGAGTTTTTTTGTTCAAAAATATGAGGCTAAAAATATGAATTGCCAATCCCATTAATAGGGTGACCATAGTGTTCCTTGTACAATATTTCACGTGTTGGTATAAAAATTTACCCAGAATATTGATGTGTAGTCGTGATTCAATTTACTACAATAAAACTCATTTTTAAATGAATCCCAATCATCCAATGTTTAGAATCAATTCTCGATTTATTTATAGAAGTTTTGTGACATAATTAACATATTGAAGGATTTTTTTTTTAATGAATTGATTGAGATACCTTGCACATGTTTGGAGGGCAGAGATTGCAGCCATGGGGAGATGAATGGAAATCATGGTATGGGAAGATCCTTAGCCTTCCTTCTTCATCGACATAGCTCGGATTCGTGTTGATTTCAGCAAAACAATCTCTTAGACCAAGATGATTCAAAATTGTCTCAATGAAGAAGAGATTTGCATCACTTACTACCCTCAAATCACACCTGTAATGAATTCATTTCCCCACACCATAACTATACATTTTCCAGGAAAACAAAACAGAGGAAAAAGAAAAGAAAAGAAAAGAAAATTTGTATACCCTAAAGCATGAGCTGCTTTGATAGCAGGGACGATCCGGGGATGAATCGGAGCCCGTTTGAGTACCTCTGCGACGTCATCAATGGTTTTCCCTTGTGAATGAAGCTCCATCATCATCCTATCCTGTAAATGTGAAACAGAACATGAACACTCATCCTCTGTTTTTTGGAAACAAAAAAATTTTAAAAAAATAAAATTAAAAAATTTGAATTATGATTTTCTAATTAATGGGAAAAGGACCAAAAATATATATATATATATACATAACAAAGAGGAATGTGAAGGTGGTGTTGAATTAAAATGCTAGAAAACAAAACGAAATTGAAATCATGTTGACAAATAAGTGAATATTAAAAAATATTCTTTTTCTGTACTTTTAATTATACGATCATATATCAAAATTCATAAATTATGAGATTCTCCTAATTGAAATGCATTGAGTACGTACGACTAAAATGCATTAAAACTCAAAAAGTAAAAAAAATTAAAAATGAGAAAGTTTCAATATGATAGTGAAGAAAAAAAAAAAAAAACTGACCATGAGGGAGTTCCAAGGCATAGTAGGGAGGAGTTGATTGAACAAATCAGTGGCACCCAACTCATCAATAACCCAATTATCGCTATCCAAGTCGATAATCGTCTTGTCGAAGTCGAAAACCACCACAATTCCTGCCATTTTCTAAGATCAGATACTGGGTTTTTTTTTTTTTTTTCTCGAGAAACAAACGGTGTTTGATATAGCTACACACACCAGGTACAGTTGTTGTTGTTGTTGGTTTTGAAAGAGTCCCGTGAAAGAAGGGTATATATAGGAGGATAGAGCATGTGATGGATAACAGTTTTGTGTGAATTTTTTATAAAGATGCCAATGGAATATTACAAGGATGAGTTTGTGGTAAGTTAGGGAAAGCCATTCAAGTCTCTTTTCTCAGTTGGGACATTCTCTAGAAATCAACATGTCTACATATATCCCATTATTTTCGTGGATAGCTTGATAGTGTGGGCTCTTATGTTTTACACCGTTTGATTTGATGACTCTGAGGAGTGGTCAAGGAATCGGAGGGTGAGGAGGGTAGTGATGATGGGGGAGAGGTTATTCGGTGCTCGTAAGACACGGTCAGGAGATTCTAGAGAGGTTATGATTGGTAAAAGGAGTGAGATCATGATTATGTGTTAAAAACATGAAAATATAGGTGCCTTAAAAAACAATTCTAACCATACTCTTCATTTTTTGCTAAGTAAAATATTAAAAAATATTGTATATTCTTTATTTTGCCTAATTCATTTTTTATTTTATGTATTTATACACACAAAATGTTTAAAGACTTTTTTATCAATGCTCTTCAAATGTAACCAATTTAAAAAAAAAATATTAAAATTATTATTGTAATAATTAGCTCGTTAAAATATTAAAATATGATAATGCTAACTATAATGGTCCCGTTTGGTGTAGCTGTTAAAACCGTTTATAGATTATAGCTTAACAGATTACAGATTATAGATTATGACTTTAATCAGAAGTTGTTAATCTGTTTGGTGTAGCTGTTGGATTATGGATTTAAGTTGCTGAGCAGTGTTTGTTAAATAAGCTATGAAATAACTTTTTCAAATAATTTTTATTTTTTGTTTGTCTACATTTCTCATAAAAAAAAATAATAATAATCTATAGTCCATTTAGGTCTTTTTCTATTTTTTAAAAAATAAAAAATAAAAAAATTTAAAAGTATAACCATAAATTAACATGTTCACAGCAGAAGCTGATAATCAGAAGCAAGGGGTGAGCAGCTTCTCAGAATCAGCTTTTTTGAGTTAAAATAAGCTGTTAGAATCAGAAACTGTTTGAAATAAGTTTAACCAAACAGTCCAAAATAACTTTTTCAAAGCCAAAAGCCAAAAGGCATAAGTTAGCTCTGAAAAGCTGAAACAAATACCCCCAATAAGTATCTGACCAAATTTAAAAAGTCCTTCAAAATAAATCTTAATAGTGCTGATTGAATGGTATTTCGTAACTTAAGGGTTGTTTGAAATGAACTAAATAAGTGCACTTTTTGACCTTTTGAATAAAAAAATAGAGGAAAAAAATATGATTGTTTGGGATAATTTTTTAACTTTTTATGAAAAAATGTGTATTAAAATATTGTATAAAATAATAAAATTACCATATTACCCCTAAATATATGCGTACTGACATCCCTTGTACCATGAAGTCAGTACCATATGTTGCATACTTCAGAACTGGACGGTGCCTCCAGTCCGAGCACAACACAGGACGGTGTTGTTCGGCCTATGGGGCGCACCACAGGTCCCGTTTTGATAATCGGAACCGTTCAATATGTAGAAGTCGTCGAGTATTACATGTTTGTAAAAAATCACGTTGATCGAATATCGATATCTATCTGGTCGAATTAGTTTTTTGTCAACTGTTAATTTGTTGAACGTTCATTTTTTTTTTTATACAAAACTGATTTGATCATATAGTTATCGATATCCGATCAACGTGAGGCATATAGTACTCAACAAGTTCTACATATTGACAGTTCAGATTATCAAAACGAAACTCGTGATAGGCCCCCACTGGCCTAATAGTACCGTCCTGTGTTGTGCACCACCTGTGTAATTTGTACCATCATTTGAGACTTTTTTTTTTTCTTTTGAGCAAACATCACTTCAGACTGTACCATTAGCATTAGGGGTGCAACTCGGGCGGGTTCGGTCGGGTTGGGGGTCTGCCTAAGCCCGACCCGAATTGTATTTGGCAGTGCCCAAGCCCGTCCAAGCCCGACCATGAACCCGAGCATTGCTGCCCAAGCCCGGCCCAAGCTTTGTATTTTGAACTCGGGTTAGCCCGAATTGCCCGAGTCCAGAAACCTGTAGGTAGATCTAAGGGTAGACATAAAAGATGCTAATCTAATGGTAGAAGACTAACCAAAAAATTCGGGTTCGGGTTGCTCGGGTTGGCCATTGGTTCTGCCCAAGCCCGGCCCGAATTGCAATTCGGGTATCAAAAATCTGCCCAAGCCCGTCCAGATTACAAGATATAGTTGCCCAAGTCCTAAAAAAACTCGAGCTGGGCTCGAGTTGCTCGGGTTGAGCCCGCCCGAATTGCACCTCTAATTGTCATGTCATAAAAAGTTAGTTTGTATTTTTTTGTGTAAATTTATTTATTTATTTATTTTTGTGAATAGTAATAATTTTTTGACTTTTTTAATAACTTTTTGACTTTTTATCTTTTTTATAACATGACAAACCAGCCATTAAATTCATTGAAAGTTAATCAATTTTAATAATTTTTTAATTTTTTTATAAAAAATGTAAAAAAAAATAATATATTATATTAATTTTTTGATTTTTTTTTTTAAAGATAATATGACCCCTTCTCCCAAACACTGGTGACCCTTGAGGCGGGAGGGAAAGTGGGGAATATGAGGGAATATTCGGGGTATGAGGAATTAAATTCTCTCAGTTGTGAAATGCACTTTTTTCGCATGGAATTGGAATCGGAATCGGAATCGGAATCGGAATATTCCGATGCGGTTCTGTCGGCCATGTATGGCGGCCCAACTTTTTAGTAAAAACCGATCCGAGTCAGTATTTTGTATTGGTAATTAGCTTTAAGCACCCAATTAAATAACAATTAAAACAAAAATAATTGAAAAATGAAAATGATTTTGTTTGGTATTATTTATTTATTTATTTATAAGTCAATTAATATAACTTATTTATTAATTTATTTTTAAAAAATTCACTAATAATGTTCGATTGTAATTTTAAATTATAATTTATTTGAGTTAGAATTTATAACTTTTTTAATTTATTTAAAATTCTTAAATACGTATGAACAAAATAGTCATATTTTGTTTATCTTCATTACAACTTTTAAAGTTATCGTGGCACCAGAAAAATATATGTGACAATTTAATAAACCAAACAAATCCAACTTATGTATCACTTGTTTTCTTTCTTGTTTTATATGATACTATATTATTTGTTTTTATTATTTTTTAGATGATAGTTTTCAAACAAAAACAGTAATATAGGTGGTGATACAAAACAGTAATAAAAATTAAAAAATTAAAAGCGACATATAACATATCTCTATGAAAATTACGTTAAATAGATTTACAATTAAGGCCCCATTTTGGCAATCAAATAAATTGTTTATTTGGTAAAAAAATAAAATAAAAACGACATTCGTAATTTTCATATACATATTATTATACTAAGATGCCCGATTCTAAATCAAATTTGCAATGAAGAGGTTTGGTGTCACGTGTGAATTGTATTAAGTATACGAATTATAATTCTTATTTGTTATTATTATCTTTACTTTATATTATACTACTATACACACACAGAGAGAGAACACGAGTTCAATTTGAAGTTGTTATCTATTAAACCATCCAACATGAGTCCACTTTTATTAGCCAAATGGGTAAACATATAAGCCCTGTTTGGTAGGGTTTATTTCTTACTTATTTCAGCTTTTAGTTTAATTTAAGTTATTTTGATATGTTTGGTTTAGCTTAATAATACAGCTTATAACTTTTTGTAAGTCAAAAATCAACTTATTCTTTGCGTGGGGGAAGAGAAACTTAATTTATAAGTCAAAAATCAGCTTATATTCACAGTTATAAGCTATAAGCTGTTAGGTTATAAGTTATAATATAATCACTTTCCCACAACTCTACCAAACAGGGCCATAGTATAATATCACATCTCCCAAATTCAATTATCATCAAGATCTATGTAATTGCTTCAATCCTTCCTTCAAAAATTTATTCAATCTCTCTCCATATCTAGTGTTTAGTTTGATGAGTACTGTTAGATTGTATTTGAATTATAAATTTGAGTAGATATTTCTTTCTTCATTTTTTTCTTTTTAAATTCTTACTTAAATTTATAATCTAGATACAATCTGAGAGATAAATACTGCTACTAGTGTATTGGGGAGATATGTTTGGGAGATGGGAAATGAGCATTGGAGAAGGGACAAAAAGTAAGCTGAAGATCTCAAGGAAACGCTTGGGAATATGTTGTAAGTCTTTTTCATTTTTATTGTTGGTATGTAAATTTGTTAAACTTTCTTATATATTTATTAGATTTGTTTAAGAGTAAATTACGTCAGTAGTCTCTCAACTTTAGTTCTTCCATCATTTTGATCTCTGTAATTTTAATTAATTTATTTTTAACTTTGAATTAATGACTTGAGAATATATTTTAAATTATTTTCATTTTTATTGTTTGTATGTAAATCTACTGTACTTCAAGACAAACGTTTGTTATTTGTTTATTAGATTTGTTGATAGGCAAATAATGCCAACAGTCTCTCAACTTTGGTTTTTATGTCATTTTAATTTATATAATTTTTATTAGTTCAATTTTGATTTTAAATTTATGAATTTATTTTAATTTGATTTAATTGATTACAATTATCAATTTTTTTAATAAAAAATATGCACATAAACAAAACATGTCATGCTTTTACACGTATAATAATAAAATTATTCAATTCAATGAGTTAATCTCAACTAACTCAATAATTATTTTTCGTAAAAAATTCTAATAGCGTTATCAATTAGTCCAAATGACACAATGAATAAAAATTAAAGACTATCGATATAATTTGTCATTTGTTGAATTTTGATGGAACTTCAAATTTCACCACTGAAATGATATTTGCAATATGTTACAATAATTACATTTCTATATCATATTTAGTTTATCATGTGTAATGAATCTATTAAACAAATATAGTACTGACAATTTCACATGATGCATACATCTCTAGTTTTGGAACAT